CAGGGCGGTTATTCTCTTATTTTATTATAATTCGAAATTAGGTAACACGAACTTCTAAAAAAGGAAATTCGTGACACCGGTGCTGAGCACCAGTGGTGGTAAATAGTAAACTTCTTTAATTTAATATAATTATTATTATATCATCTTTATTTGTTTAAATATAAATTTTTATAACTTAATAAACTAATTAGTTTTAAATTTTAAATAGATAGCTTTTTAAATCAATATCAATTTTATTAATTTTTATTTTATTATATAATTTTTCAAGGTTTTTAAATTTTTAATATATATAATTAAGTTTTTTCTTTTTTTTTTTAAAAAAAAAAATATACTAATTATTATTTAATTATTAATTTAATATCATATAATTATTACATTATCTTCATTTATAAATTTTAAAACTTTCTAAATATATTAATATTTAATATTTAAATAAATAATTTAATAGATTTTAAAAATATTTTTTATTATTAATTTTTATTTTTAATTTATATTATTAATTTTTCTTATTTCTTTTTTTTTTAAAAAAAAATTAATTATTATATAATTATTATATATATAATATGAAGTTTAAATAAAGTTTGTAATATTTGATTATGCAGATAAAATTATTTCCAATCAGAAATACTTTAAATGCCGGCAAAACTCCAAAGTACTACGCCTTAATAATCTTCGCAATACTACGTCCGTAAAAAACAAACATAGAATTGCGGCGGGTCGAACGAGGTACTAAAAAATTTCCTGATGTAATTACAAATCGCGAAATTTATTTCACGAATTTGTATAATTTCTCCGTTTGACAAAAAAGTAAATAAATAAAAAATTAGAAGAAGACCTCAAGAGATTAATATCAATCAAAAAGAGATAGTTACAGCTCTCATAGGATTTGCTTAAATTTGTTAATTAAAAAGGATGCAGTTAAATTCATTTCGAAAATTACGAATTATTCCTATTTGATGTATATTATAATTTTCACACGTTTCAATAAATTGTCGAAGACACAAAGTGTTAAACGCCTTTACATATTATATCAATATGTTGCATTTTTTTCATTCCTTTGTAAATCAAACTTTTGCATTAAATAATTTCTAAATTTTCGGAGATTCCTTGTTTTGTATACTCATCATGAACATATTTGCTTTTATATTGGACAACCTTTTCTTATGTTTAACAAAGCTAATACGAATAAACGACTTATTACGATAATTATCAATATAACAATCAATCACAAGTTGTCAAGATGAAGATAATAACACCAAGGATCTTTTTTTGTTTTTATTTAATGCGTGATTATTATTTTAATCTAAATCAACTTCATATTCCATGAAGATTGCTAATTAATCATCAGACTCTAGGAGAATTTGAAAAAGTAGATGGCCATAAAATAAGAACATGAAATTCTTACTAATAATAACTCGTATACTATTAAAAGATTTCAAGATTTAAGAAAAACTTACGTATGCTATTATCAGCCATTTTTACCGAACGAAATTCATCATCCCTTTTTTTTTCTTGCAAAGTTTATTATCAGCACTTTCCTTTCAGGCGAAAACTAATGACGTACATTTAATTAAACATCAAAGAGACGAAAAATATCGAAATAACTGTAATCACAATCAAAACAAGAATGTGAATCTTCTACGATGACTATTAAAATTTATTAACGCGACAAAAAAAAAAATCCAATAACCGCAACTTATGAAGATAGCTTACTTTCCATTTACGTAACTTGCCCAAAGGTTTATCTCTCTTGTCAATGATCTCATTTAAATGTTCAGGATCGAACAAGTCTGCCTTCTCCTCTGAATGTTGCTTTTGCTGTTGAACCAGTTGTTGCTCGTGGCGACCTTTTGCTATTGACCGTTGTCGGTTATTTCGCATAAAATAATCTTTACGGCGTGCTTTTCCCATTATTAAATATAAATATTATTGAATTTTTTTTAAGGAAATTTTTGTTTGAGGATGTGTAAAATGGTAGAATTTTTACAAGAAAAGTTAACTGAAATTTTTCTCACGGTACTGCTATTGTATTATTTTATTTTTTTAATTGAAATTATTAAAATTATTTATACTAATTTTACTTAGTACATCATAAAATAAAAAAATTTCAAATATATAACATATACTTATATAATAAAGTCTCCGGTCAAAATGTAAGTACAAAATGGTAACTTAACCAAACCATCTGAATTCAAGTGTTCTCGATCTAATTTTTTTTTCATTTGAATTGTTTCTATCTATATCATCTCATCATCCTAGCGGCAATTAATTTTTTTTTTTTTTTTTTTGGCTATGTCAAAGGCGGAAACGGGACCATTATTTCACGCGGCAATTTTAAAACTTAATTAATTATTTCAGATTTCTTTACCGTTGAAATAAAATTGTTGGAACTTAAATTTTTTTTTTGATAAAACTATTTCAAAAGTAATTTGTGTTTGTGAAATAATTTTATTTATAATTTGTATTTAATTTATCGAATAAAAACTTTACGAAAATAAAGTAATGTTATGAACATAAAAAAAATACATGCTCATTCTCATAATTTAGAATCTTTATTTATATATATATATGACTTCAAGTTTTCAAAAAGAAAAATGGAATGTATGTCAACTTCCTGTCGATAATTAAAAAAGAAATCTTTGAACATTTAGAGGAAGATAAATTTTCCTTACATTCATGCTTTTTTATGGAGGAATTTATGGAATTTCAATCCCAAATGCTAAAATACCTTGTATGTCATCAAGTCATCCAAAAAAACATTATCTTATTGACTTGTGATGCTTCCGCCAGTTTCAAAACTTTCTTCCGCGCAAGCCATGTATCACTTCATTTTCAGATAGACTGCCAAAATTGCCAGTACAGAAGAAGGTATTACAGAACCAGAAGCTACTTTCTCGGCTTGCTTCGGTCAAACCTTTCCTGATATTACATCCATACCATTACGCAAATATGTTTGCAAAAAAGATGGTATTACATTCAGCTGATGTTTGGGTTGATTAACACCGGATGGAATGTTGATGCTTATGTTGTTGGTAAACGCATCAAGCTCAAGTATTCTCGTGCCATCATTGATGCTATTCACTCGGGTGAACTCGCTGAAACTGAATATGAAAATTGGAAGTTTTTAATTTGCAAGTTCAAAAAGCATGTTCGGGAGTACCATCAGAAATTTTACATTCAAGAAGGTTTTCCAAAATTATTTTTTCTATTTACAATATATACAATGATTATGATTTCATTAATCAATTATGATCCATTTGTGTCGTGAAGGAATATCATTCTCATTTTTTTTTAAAAGAAAATTTAATTAAATCAATATTTTCAACACGCATCAGTTATTTCATATGCATAATTTTGTATATTACACGGAAGTCAATATCTATGTACTAACCCACAGATCGAAAATTGTCGTTCACGTAATTTTTTTTTTTTTTTTCATATGAAATTTTAATAACAGAAAATTGATTTATATTACGTTATATCTGCACTGTGAAATTCTTGGCAAAATTCATTATACAAGTTTAATAAGTCTTTGACTAAATCCGTTAATAACCGCCCTGGATATGATAATGAAATATCTTTAACGCATATATTGAAAATTTACTGTCCCAATGCCAGTTCGGAACTAGCCTCTAATAATATCGACCTAGCTGAATTAAAAAACAAGGACGCAACTCGAAATGTTATTAATGTGAAGTTTTCACATTTTTATACGTAATTTTTTCTTAAATTATAATTAACGAAAATTTTCTGAAGTCATGTAACATAAATAAAAATATCCAGATGTAAAATATATGCTATAGAATAAAGTGTTTTATAAATTAACATGACAATATATCGCATATTTAATGTAAAGAAACACCAAAAAAAAAAATTATCCTAATCTAACTCAAATTTTTAAAGTTTTACGGAATTTGTAAACTATACAGTGATTAATCCTTCGGGAGCCACATTGGATAAACTTTATTACCATGAACAATTTTAAATTCAATGAATAGCCAAGGAGTCATTACCCAGCCAAATCAGCTCATGATGATACGCATAGCAAGAACTAAAATAAGAACATCAAAAAGAAAATCAGCCGCGAGTAAGGAGTTGTTGTTATCATATTTTCTAGAGATAATTTTTTTATTTTTTATTTTTATTTCTCACATTCGGTTTATTAATCTCAAAGTTTTCTTTTTACGATAGGTTGATTATAATGGGTGGGACGTACATTTTCTCTCACACAATGACGCTTCATTATAAGATGGAAAATCAAAGTAATTGAAGCATGGTTTGTTAAATTTTCAAAATCTACGTTTTACGAACGGTTGGTTACGTCATCGTAAGGTTTTCCTTAATATAAACATGCAGTTAGGCTTTATTCATTTCCTTTTTCTTTTTAGGAGCCTATCCGGATACCGTCTCCATTACCACCTCCACCATCGAATCTTCATCTGGAACATTTATCTAATTGGACATCATATATGTCCAAATCCAACAGTAAAATTGTCATGAGATTTAGTAAATTATATTTGTATTACTGGCAACGCTCCCATATGCGTTAATTGACGATGGTAGATTTTGTAATATAATTTCACACTCCAGGAATCAGAGAGAAAGAACAAGCTGATAAGAAATCAAACGAAAATGATAGATCAGACTCAAATTAAGGAAATGGAACCAAACCGTAATTAAAAATGATTTACCCTCAAGTAAGCAACAATTGTAAATTGTATGCTTAATGTCTTGAATAGTCAAAAATCGTTTACCTTTCAGTATTATGTGAAGTTTGGAAGAAGTTATAGAGATCTTGTTTTTCGACTAAACTAACTTGCTCGCATCATATACCAAATTTTATACCAAGCTGCGCTAGAAAACTGAGCTGTTAATGCTTCTTCTTCAAGCTCATGAACAATTCGGAATAGGATCAAATTGGAAGCGAATTTTGATGTGTTACGAATATAATGTACAAAATGGCAAATAAAAGAAGAAAAATCTTCAATTAAAAATTGGTGTTGATTATATGGATGTAATAATGAAATTTTTTTTTTTTTAAAAAAAAAAAAAATAATAAAATGAATTGAGTTGTAATTAAAAAGAAAGATCCCGTTGTTTTATCGAATTAGGGTTTGTCTTTTGTTGGCTGCATATGAAGGTAGTAAGTAACGTAACATGTCAGATACCGTACGACTCTATCAGGTAGTGATATTGAAAGACCGGAATAAGAGTTCACAATTGTAGAGATAAAGGTAATTTCCCATGGATTTATTAAATGTTTTTTTTTCTTTATCAGACTATTTTAAATAATAAAAAAAAATAAATAAATAAATTTATTATTTTTTTTTTCCTTCATTTCTTTACCAAAATGGTTAGATGATAACTTTCCGCAGTTACACAATCATCATAAATACTACGAATTTATCGTCACCCTTTTTTTCACACCTAAACCTTTCAATATTGCGTCAATAAAAAAAAAATGTCCCAAAATAACGTAATTTTCAACGTAGGAGGAACAAAATTTGAAATATCAAAAGGATTATTACAAAAATATCCAAATAGTAAATTATCAACGCTTTCTCAAAAGGCTTCTTCTGAAATCTTTATTGATCATAATCCTTTGGCATTTGGTGTGATTCTCGATTATCTTCGTTCTAACAAATTGCTAGTACCAAAATATGTTGCCAAAGAAGTTGTTGAATTACAGCTAAAAGAGTTTAATATACCTTATGATCAAATAATCGAACCAGATGTTATGGACAAGGATGATAATTTACCTAGTTATGAATCCGCTATTAGTGGATTTACTGCTCCTTATAGGGATGAAAAAAATTATTCTTTAAAAGAAACGGTTATCAGTACTGGTATAAGGAGGTAATCATATAAAAATTTATCCTTTTTTGTGTAAATCTTTTTTCTTATTATTATTATTTTTTTTTTTCTTTGTTATAGGTTGGAAACGTTGATTCAAGATGTCATTCTTCCTTACTTGAAACGTCATGCTAAACGTGGACATCGACAAGTAACATTTTATTTGACTCCATGTATAGTCACACCTAAAAATATTACAACGGATCTAACGGATCCACATGAATGGATTCATCTTCAACACTCATCACAATCCCAATCAACTCGCTATCTTAATTCTTCTCATTCTGTTGAGAAAGTTGACGATGAGGACGATGATGATGATTTGCCTGATATCAAATTTTTGTTACAAAATGATATCTTGGATAAATTACAAGATTTTATTATCATAAAGTCTGGTGTTAAAAAGGTTGTTGCCAAACAAACCGAAGTTTGTTGTAGAACTGAAAATGAATTTGGTTTATTGTCATCTAAATCTTTAGAAATTATTCAAGTTGATGTGGTGATCATCTAAATGTTTTGTTTCAAACTTTTAATTTATTATGTATTACGTATTATTTTCAATTACGATTTGTGTAGCGTAATTAATTCTCAATATGCTATTTGTTAATTTCGAAATATTTCGAAGGATAGAATTATCCATTATCATTCTTTTTTTTTTTTTAAAAAAAAAAAAAAATAAACTCTCAAGTTTTTATTCGAAAATAAACTCATTGAATAAATGCTGCATCATTACGTATGTTATACTCGGAATATTTTTACCGAATATTCTTTTTTTCGTTCATGATCATCATTAACTTCGATTTCCCCTTAAATTCCTTTAAATATATCCTAAAAATACGTCACCCCCGTTTAATAAATTATGTCCTTTTAAAGAAATTGTCAAGCATCTGCTTTTTTGTTGTTGTTGTGCAACCATCGGGGAAATTTTTGGATTTTTTTTTTAAAAGTTGCTAACCCCTCCTCTTTTCTCTACTTACTTCTTCATTTTTTTTTTCTTCGTAACCTTTATTTTTATTTATTTATTTTTTTTTTTATCTTTATCCTTGTCAAACAGGATTACGAAAATTAGCGAATTTAATGTTATAATGAACTTGTGATTTTTATATACGGAGTATCCATCTTTGAACAAAAACTTTTTCAACGGGAATTAAATTTCAATCTGATTGAAAATTTATTTTTTTTTTTTAAAAAAAAAAGACTTTTGTGGCATTTAATTAGGAAAATATGGATGATTTTTATAAACCCCCATATACATCACCAGCTTCAACAATACCACCAGCACCAACACGTACACCACCTCCACCGTCAAATGCACCATTAAATCCATCAACGGCAATATTTAACGCAATATTACAAAACAATGTAGGATTAGTTAGATCGATATTAAATCAAACGCAGTTTAACCCAAATAATCTAAGGAATAAAGATGGGAAGACCCCATTAATGGTAGCAGCTTGTGAAAACTGTCCTGACGTTATAAATTACTTGGTAGGATTGCCAAATGTTAACATTGACCTACAAAATAATGACGGTGAATCGGCATTGTATCAAGCTGCTTCGTTGGGAAATGTTGAAGTTGTTAAAATCATGATGAATGCTAATGCTAACGTTGAAAGTTGTAATAGGGAAAATATAACCCCTCTTATCATCGCGGCTTATAATGGTCATGCTGATGTTTGTAGTGAACTTATCGATCACGGTCATGCCAATGTGGATTTTCAAGATAGTTCTTATAAAACCGCTTTATTATTGGCTTCCTATGAAGGTCACGTTGAAACCGCTAAAGTGTTACTAGCTCGAGGTGCAAGTGTGCACATTTCAGATAAGGTGTGATCTCAATTTCTTTTATGTCTTTATTTGTGATCTTTATTTAATTTCTCTTTTTCTTTAAAAAAAAAAAAAAAAAAAGTATGGATGGACCGCGTTAATGCTCGCCGCTTTTTCTAACCGTGTAGAAATGTGTCGGTTGTTATTGGAGCATAATGCAGACAGATCCGTTACAGCAGATAATGGGAAAACAGCGTCTATACTTGCTCGTGACACTGGACATTTTGACTTGGCAAACATGATCGAGAATTACGTTCCAAGCGGGAATAAAAATAACAATAATCATAATCATAATAGTATTATTAATTATAATAATCTTAATAATAACAATCATAATAATAAACCAATTCCGCCTTCCCATCCACATCTACCTCATCGTTCAAGTGGAATACCTTCTCAAAGAGTATCAGGAAGGTTTCCTACAACGACACCACAACAACCGATTGAACAAAATGTTATGATGCAAAACGTTTATCCAGAGATTCCAATCAATAATACAAAAGGATATATGATGCCAAAACGTATAGATTCAAGGCGTAAAAGGATTCAACGTAAGAATACAGATCTTGTTAATGCTCAATATCGTCATAATATTACGGGGAGCGATAATATAAACGATGGGAAATATAAGACAGCACCACATTTAAAAAATGACATGGCACCGAGAGAGAGTAAAACTCCTTGGGTATTATTTTCATTGGCAGTCACGGCATGTTTTTGTAATCCTTGCCTTTCCACCATTGGTAAGATGAAAGATTCCAATGTGCGTCAAGCTTGGCGTGAAAAAGTGGCTTTGGTGGTTATTATATTATTGATTTCATTTTTTATGGGATTTTTGGCATTCGGTTTGACAACCATCGCTTGTGGAACAAAGAAACAAACATTTTTTAAGGAAGATGTATTTGAAAAATATGGACCGAATCAACCGGGTCAAAAAGTGCATATTATTCATGGCAGACTCTATAATACTGGAGAATATATACTTTTTGGTAGTCATCGTCCGTTGACGCCTCCTATCGAAGATAAAGATTTAGAACCGATAATATTTCCAACGTTTGGACAAGATATCTCGGATTATTTTCCTCTAGACAATCAAGAATTAGGATGTCCTTTTGCCCCTAAAAATGGTGGACCCATTTGCGATAGAGCGATTGAAACGAAAAATCCATTATTATATTGTCATACTTCTTCCAACGGTGTCAATAACGCATTAAAGGAACTATATATGAGCATAAGCGTTTCTTATTCATGGCAAAATATAACCAAAGCTAACACCACCTTGTTTGTTTATAATAATAAGGTATATGATTTAGGAAACTATCTTGATCCTTCAAATGAGGATAAGTGGCTTGGAGATGATAGCGTTACAGAATGGCTTCGAGGCCTCCTCGGTAAAGATGCAACAAGAGATATTCTTCGCACGACAAGGGGACAGGAGATATCAAAATGTTTGCCTAATTTTAAAGTAGGAGATATTGAAGGAACAACCATCGGATGTTTTGCGAATAAATTGATTCTTATTATAATGTTAGTCGTGTTCACAGGAATTTCTTTAATCAAGTTCATTTCCGCAATAGCATTTGATTGGTTTCTATCATGGCAACTTGGTAAAATATCGAAAAAACCAAAAACCGATGATACGACATCACACATTTTATTATTAGTCACGTGTTATTCGGAAGGCGAACATTCAATGCGCACAACGCTTGATTCATTGGCCAGTTCGGATTATTCTGACAAGCACAAATTATTAATGGTAATCGCTGATGGTGACATAACCGGATCAGATAACGATAAATCAACTCCGACAATATGCAAGGATTTAATTGAACCATTCAATTTATCTAGTTTTGAGTCTCCGATACCACAATCATATTTAGCCATAGGAGATGGCAAAAAGCAACACAACATGGCAGAAGTCATTATCGGATATTATAATTGTAAGGGACATCGTGTTCCAATGTGTTTGATTAATAAAGTTGGTACACCAGAAGAACGAAAAGGGCTTAAAGCCGGTAATCGTGGTAAACGGGATTCACAGCTTATATTAATGAAATGGCTTAGCAATGTATTTTTTAACGATCGTATGACACCATTGGATTTCGAATTATTTGAAAAGGTACGAACATTAACGGGAGTAACGCCTGATAAATACGAGATGATACTTATGGTTGATGCAGATACGCTGGTAATGAAGGATAGTGTTAGTAGGATGGTGGCAGCGATGGAACGTGATCCAACGGTTATGGGACTTTGTGGGGAAACGAAAATAGCGAATAAGAAGACGAGTTGGGTTACAATGATACAAGTATTTGAATATTATATTTCGCATCATCTTGGAAAATCCTTTGAATCAATATTTGGTGGGGTAACCTGTTTGCCAGGGTGTTTTTGTATGTATCGTATCAAAGCACCAAAATGTAATGGATTTTCCGTTCCCATACTCGCAAATCCTGATATCGTAGAATTATATTCTTCAAACACCGTGGAAACGTTGCATCAAAAAAATTTATTGCTCCTTGGAGAAGATAGATACCTTACCACTTTAATGTTGAGAACATTCCCGAAACGTAAAATGATTTATGTACCAAAGGCGATATGTAAAACTATAGTACCGGATGAATTTAAAGTATTATTGTCACAAAGAAGAAGATGGATCAACTCTACGATACATAATTTGATGGAATTAATTCTCGTACCACAACTTTGTGGTATATTCTGTTGTTCTATGCAATTTGTTATATTTTTGGAATTGGTTGGAACGGTTGTATTACCTTCTTCACTAATATTTATGATCTATTTATTCATTGTCGGTGGCCTTGGTGTTGATATTACCTTACCCTTGATTTTTATTGCTGCTACTTTCCTTTTACAAGCGTTTTTGGTCATCTTTACCACTCACAAATTTATTTATGTGATGTGGATGTTTATTTTTATTTCGGCCATGCCTATTTGGAATTTCATCTTACCTGTCTACGCGTTCTGGCATTTCGATGATTTTTCATGGGGTGCAACTCGTAAAATTTCTGGTGAAGACAATGGTCATGAAGGAAACAAAACCGATGTATTTGAAAGAAATCAGATTCCAAGAAAGACATGGCATGAATGGAAACTCGACAATGATAATGTTAATGTTGAAAATGGTTATCCTTCAAAGATTCAACAAACGACAACTTTACAAAATCGACCCCCGTCTCAGAGAGTTTTCCCGGGTGGATTTGCTCCTATTCCAACCGCTACAACGTTACCACCTCCACCACCGAAACCAACCAGTATTTATGATAATAACTTTAATAATCGTAGTAGTCATAGTGTTACGGGTACAAGACCTATGGGACCAAGGGGGCCAATTAATCTTGCTGGTTCAAGGAAATCCTAGATTATTATTTATTTTGTTTTATTTTATTTTGTTTTTTTTTGTATGATATGTATTTTTATAATGATCTTTTTTTTTTCCTTTCCTAATCATAATGGTTACTGTCTGTATAAAACAGATTTGCATTTTTATAAAGTTTAAATATATAATAAATTTCTTTCTCTGTAATATTTTGTAGTAATGATTAATCTTTATTTGAGGATCGACCTAATCGAAAATGTATTATTTACAGATAATAAAAGCGAGTGACGCTACGCTACAAAAAATCCATACAAATTCCTCGTGATATAGAATTCACTACAACGTTATTTTGATCTAAAGTATGACATTTCGTGGGGTTTCCTACAATGAGAAATGTCCTATATTCATTAATAATGTACATAAATGCGTTACCGAATCCACCAAGATTTACACCTTTGATAAAAAAAAAAAAAATGATTTGTTAATAGAATGATGATAGTTGAGACGGGTATGCGATGTTTTACGGATATTTACCTAATATTAAGATTATCGTAAAAAACGATTTGGTCGATTTATCATTTACTTCGTGAAGCAACGCAAAGTTATATATCAAAACGCATATCTGCAAAGATGATCATTTAAAAATTTAAGATCACGTTCATTCGTAAAGTAAAAAATAAATATATGAAATCATTAAATTATCTAGCTTACCCATTGCACGAAGTATGGTATTAAAGAAGAAACCGCATTACGTATAACGTGTGGTTGAACCGGTTCACGCTTCTTGTTAACACGCACGTGATCATCACTTATCCCATAAAGCGTCATATTTACAAGCCTAAAGCAGATCGTTAACGCGAAGATCAAAATACTGGTTATGAATCCTACATTGACCAGGTATATAATTCCCCCTTGTGGCTTGTTGGAACACCTATTATGGAGAGAAATGATCTGTTGAGCGGTCGCGCAGCAGTTCGGAAAATTTATAGGGTGCAGCAAAATCCATACCATAGATCTTGTGGTTCATATCTATTGAGACCATAAATCGATGCAACCCAAGAACCTAAAAATAATAATTTCCGCAATCTCCAATCATGCTTTCTGGTTATATCAACACTTTTACACACTCTTAAAAAAAGTAAGTATGTGAAAGATGTAACTGATAGTAAATTGAATGTTAAGAATGATGGAGAAAATATTCCCATAAAATCGCAAGCTATTCCGGGCTTAATTGAACTCGTCCCGGTAAGAATCTACAAGATTGTAAGTGAATATTAGCATTGTTTCATTTTGGTCTGGTTGGAATCGAATGTTTGCACGTACCAAATCAATGATTTGCATTATAGCAAAAAGCACATCTAATAAAAAAGGTTATATTTTAATTTAATCTGTACTGAAACGAGACCAACTTCTTAAATAGGCATACGTACTTGAAATGGCAATGTTAAAAGAAAATTTTGAATCTAAAGGTAACGGTTGATTTTTTCCAATTCTGCACTTTTTACAGTGGACGCGGTAGAAAACTTCAACGCATCCTAATAAATTTAACGAAATGGCGAATATTAAAATAAGTGGGACCGGATCAAATTCGATAAACGGTGAAATTAATACACGAAAATTATTCGGCGACGCATGTCCAACGTTATATGATGTATTTAATGTGATCATTTCAGTAAAGTACTTTTGAAATTGTTTCTCTTGAGAAAAGAAATAAACTGATTTTTTTTTTTTTTTTTTAAAAAAAAAAAAAAAACCTATGTTCTTTCCCCTCCCCTATAAATATAAATTGAAAACATATTTGTTTTGCTGTATTTATTTTGACGATCAATTATTCCAATGAGGGCTGATTCGTGAATGATCAACTTTCAAACAAGTCAAACTTCAATTTATTTGAACTTGTTCTCATGATCAAGATGGCTTTACAATACTTATTAGGAAGCGACTTTGCATTCACTTGCATTTCCAGAAATAATTTTTTGTTCATTAATTTGAAAATGAACACATTTTTTTATTCATATCGATTACAAGGAATTCTGAAGAAGATTAAGGACCGATCCCAAACTTGATGGTCCCTTGAAAATTACCGATTTCTTTTAAAACTCCCCCAATTAATATGTAAAAAGTAATTATTGTAATTGTTAATTTTTAAATCTAATAACATCAATGATTTTTATTTTGTTGTGTTACATGTGGGGAGTGGTAAAATCGAATGATAGTATAAATATTATATCTATTAGTTTTATTAGATATAAATTAGTTGCATAATTATTGTGAACATTTATTTTAGAAAGGTTTTTTTTTCTTTAGCCAATTTCTTATTAATTTCCATTCAAAGACCCGCAATAAAATAATTTCTTGATTTGAAATCTTAATTTCACAAGTTATCAACAATTTTAATTGATATTTAACATTACATTTTATTAATTTTGTGAGTTTCACGTTTTACACAACAAATTCCTTTATTTGAGTCGCAAACAACTGACTAATTTCCTAATAATAACTAAAAAGTTATCAATTAACGAATGAAAATCTCGAAAATCATTGGTTATAACTTAGGCCAAATTTATTTATTTATTTTTTTTATTTTTTTTTTTAAAAAAAAATAATAAAATACAGAGGCAAACAACTGACGTCTATTATAGTTTCTACTAAATGACAGAAATATTGTCTTGGGTCGTATTTCAGTAATGATAAATAAGAAATAAAATAAATAAAGTGAAAAAAAGAACATTTTCCAAGAAAAGTTTTTTTTTTTTTTTTGTGCGGTCGATATTCACATATCACACAATTCGATTCCAATATGTAATCGGAAACTTTCGTTAAAAGAGCGTGAAATTTTTTTTTTTTTTATCGCTTTGCTTTTAAATTAGATGTATTTAATAAAATGCATTTTAAGATAAAAAAATATATAAATAAGTTCATAAAATCTTTAGACACAATCATTAGGTTTACTAATACAATTTAAAGAAAATGTTAAACTTGATGATTTATTCGAGAAATAATCAAAATTATCTATACTTTTTTAGGCGGTACAAGTAAAAATTTATTCAAATACTATCGCCGCCATCGTTTCATGATAAGAGAGAGGCATTGTCAGAATTATGAGAGAGGATCATAAATAAGAATAAAGATCCCATCATGGCACAATAGAATTAATAATTACATCCTCATAAAGTGATTCCAAATACTTTTGTCATTATTACTTTAAGCGATGTTTAAAGTATGAGGTCTTTTAGTGTGGACGGAATACAGTATATTATAATGTGCACACATAACGGCGAACGGCGAACAGGGGTAATGACTCATGTAGTTAAAGTAATGGTTTTATTTTGTCGTGACTATACCTTTAAATTTTTGGATTACAAGTTTTAAAAAGAATACTTAGTATTAATTATTTATTATTCTTTTTTAATCATTGTAACGAATTATAGTGGCCCAAATTCGTTTTCGTCCAAATTTTGTGGATAAAATTAAGACATATTTTTATTCGGTTTTTCTTTTTATTCAGTGCTATGATAAATCCAGTACTTTGTATTTCGTCAAACATTGTTCGCTCCTTCATTAAATGTACTAAACTTATTGAACTTACAGTTGCTTAAAAGGAAAAAAAAAATAGATATGATAGATTACTTTTTTTAAGAAATTAATAATCGAAATCAACTGACTGCTAATACTTGGAGATACGTTTTCGTTATTGAAATGCGCGAAAACGTCAATTCGTGATGCCATATTCAAAATGAAAAAATTATAATCCTAATTTCATGTTTTTTTTTTTTTTTTATACGGTTTAAGTAACTATTAAATTTGATGTGATCTAATGAACATCATAATTTTCTTTCAAAGTTATTCGGCGAATAAGTATGGCGCAGTACTATTCAAAAGGATCATTTCAAGATTATCTCGGAAAGCTTTTTTTTTTCTTTCAAAGAAGTAATTTATTTCCAAAAAAAAAATAAATATTATAATTTGATTCATGTATATTGAAATAAATTTCTATATTTGAATTCGGATTAAGGAATTTTGGATGATAGGATGATAAGAATCCTTCAGTTTATACAACGATTTTTACGATAAAAATCAAACAGAAACAACATATTGAAATTGAAATTCTATATGAGCGACATATTCTTCACGATTATCATTAGCGCAAATCCTTCCTTAGATTGATATCAACGATGTATTTTGGACGATTATCTAGATCTGAAATTATATATTCCCGTCCACCTTTTCCGCCATTTTTTTCCCAGTTCTATTCTTTCAACATTTCTATGTTCTTTATAATAAGTTGAATACAATCAATTACGCTACCATATCTTAATATAATTTTTGTGATAATTCCAGGATCATCTTCAGTTAAATTGTAAAGAAATCTATAATTAATCTTCCAAATTATGTGAACCATCACGAAACGTATCAATTCCGTATGGACTAACCAAAAACTTTTTACATTATTAAGAGGCCAAGGTATTTCAGGAAAGAATTTGACTAATGAAAAAAACGTGTAAAAAAATTTTCATAAATTCTGCTTTGGCCTCATTAAACATTTCTTAACTAGATAAGAGCAAAGACTTTTAAAAAAATTTGATCATTTGAAGATTTTGCAACATAAGTAAATAGCTTGTTGCTAATTTTATCTTTGCTTCACCATTAGCTTGAAAAATAAAGAGTGAGTGATGGAGTTAATCATTAGAAATCGAGGTTTTCGTTGTTACTTGAAATTACCATTTTTGTTGAAATGGTTTGTTAACATTTTTATGAAGTGTGGATATAACATCATCGATTCGTTCATCCCACGAATAATCGTTATTCATTTATGGTTTCCTTTTTATTTATTTATTATTTATATTTGGGGAGGGTTTTTTTTAAAAAATAAAATAATATAAAATTTATTTTTTGTGTTTATTTATGTAATAATTTCTCTCGTACAATGAATTATGCCTGACTTATAAGTAAAATAATCAGTATACAATAATTCTTTATTATTTAAACATATCTATCAATATTAGCGATTGAATTCTCCGAAGCATACATATTTTAATAATTTTTTTTTTTGATCACTAAAATCTCGTCTTTCCTTTATATTCCCACATTTCTATTTACAAAAAAAAAAACTTATTGTCAATAAATCACATAAATAATTACATGATGATATCTAGTTAAAATTAGATTCGCAGTGTTTAGGGGTTGGAAGAGGAAATTTCGACGTGAAATATATCGTCGGAATTTTCTCCTCCAACCCCTACACACTCTTAGAATTATTTTTAATTTAATTAAATTTCAATTAATAGAATATGTGCGTTTTCTTTCTTTGTGCGATAATTTATCTGAGTAAAAATTCATTAATCACTTTAATTAGGTAAAATTTTCTCATTTATTTGAAAATATAATAACTTTTTTTATTAAATATAATGACAAGTGAAACTATGATCTCCGGAGATCCATCAAGCAAAGTCCGGTGTTAGACCTGGAATCGTCTCAAAACCAAGCTAACAAAACTAAATAAACTAAATAAACTTAATATCACAATTATCTCAAAGGCCTTTCCTAAGGGAAATTAACGATTAACAAACAAAACAATTTATTATCACGATTCACTTGTGTAGTCAGTTATCACGATCAATCTTATGATATAGACAAGGAGGAGGTTGAAAGTGTAAAATAGTAACTTTATTAACTTGAAGAGTTTATAAGTCTAGTCCCAAGATTTATCTCAATCTTTGAGCAAAAACTCTGTTGACTCAAGGTCAACTTACAGGTCTATTTATATAAAATTGTTAACTATGCTTTTTGATAAGTATAAACAATATATATAATGAAAACTAGACAATATAATATAAGTAATAAAAAGAAGACTATGTAATATTTATAATAAAAAGTAAACTATTCGATACATGTGATAAAGTCAATCAAACGATACATGTATTATGCATCACTTTTATGATTTTTGGCGCAGTTGAAGATCATTTGAGGCACAATATGATTTGTGACTAATACCGGAGAAAGATTCTCCGAGCGCCATTTTCATCTCGAACAATTTTGGCAATTATACATCTCAGAACCTCTAATTTTTTTGAATTTTTTCACATCAGCTACAAGTTTTAGAGGTATAAGTTTCATTTGAATAATGATATGAACTCTCAATTCTTCTGCTTTGGCTACTAGACGTTGACGATAATTATTAAGTCTTTTAGCCTTATTTTTATACATTTGGAAGTGACCTATTAAACTGCTTTTTTTGTGATATTAATTTGTCCATGTAGATGCAAAGACGAATAATACGCTTAATATCATATTCACTAATCTTACCTACATCTTTTGTTAGAGAGTACCATGTGAATAGTTTCTAACCCCAGGATCATTAGAGACCAGTGTTGGCCTTTTGGACTATTGGACTTAGTCCATTCAAATTCCATTAAATTTTGGACTATTGGACTACTGAACTTAGTCCAAAAGCTATAAATTTATATATAATTTTAGCAATATATTTAAAATTGTAAAAATTATAAAATTATCATTTTTATTGTTAAATTTACTAATTATTACCTAACATAAAATTTAACAAATAATTAGGTTCCCTTAAATTTTCAATAAAAATATCTTGAAAATTCCATTTAGAATTTTGATTTCTAACAGGATAAGATAAATTTGAAATATTTATAATATTAATTTCAAGCTTTTTATCATCATTATTACTATTAATTTTTTCATCTTATTTGATTTATCTTCCAACATATTAATCCATATTAATATTAGATTTCTCTAATTACTTTTAATTTGAATATTAAAATCAGTATTTATTTCAATAAATAAATCAATTGATTCATTTAATATTTTTAGATCTAATATATTAGTCTTCATTTATTAGAAGTGCAATATTTATATTTTAAAAATTTACTACATCTTTATTAATTTTCATTTATTTAAATTTTTATGCATTGAAGCATGTATCTAAGTCCATTTTAAAATCATTTTAAACAATTAAAAATTATTAATAAAAAATATTAATATACTACTTATAAAATTAATTTATTAATTAAAATGCATACTATTAAATAATTTAATATTTTGAATACAATCATTTCATTGTAAAAAAGTTTTTTAAGAGATACTGTAATTAATGCAATTGAAAAAATATGTTTAACAATACAGTAAAATTACTTAGAATAATCATGAATATAATTCTAAATCCTAAAATATTATTATTAAATTATTATGCAATATTATTATTATAAGGATTTTTTTTATTGATAAGCTCTAATTCAACTAATAATACTTTTAAATTTTCATTAAATTAAGTATAATAATAGTAAATAACCAATTTATTAAGAGATATAAAAGATAATGTTTTAATTTGTAAATTAAATTTATCAGTACAATATTCTAAATAAAATAAAAATGTTAATAATAAAAAGTGATTGTTCTTAATCATTTCATCTTCTTTCAAATTTTTTTAAAAGTTTATTTTTAAATTATTATTATTTAATAAAAGTAAAACTATAATTAAATACCAAAGTAATAAAAAAATATCATGAAGTTATAATTATATCATTGAAATTTAAGTATAATACAATAGAAAAGGATTATTGTTTCTAATTTTTTAAATTTTTTCACTAATTATTATCAGAAATACAATTAATTTATTTTTCTAGAAAGTCATAAGATTATTATCTACTTGTTCTTCAATTTTTATTATTAACTTCTAATAATTATTTTAATTGTAAATTTTTTTAATATTAAATTAAATAATTATAGCAAAAATTATTACTTACTTTTAATGTAGATTTTGATTATAATAAATTTATAAAACAATAATATTGCAAATTCTAATAGATATTATTAAATACAATTAATATATAATATTTATTTTTATATATTGCTACTTGCTCATTATATAATTTTCTAATCTACACTTTTATATTATTAAAAAACTAGTAATTACAATAGTTTACTTATTTACTTTTGTAAGAAAATTTAATTTCTTAAAAATAATTAATAATTATATTATTAATAAATTAATATTAATAAATTAAATAATAAAAAATATTACTATGCAGAAGCATTTTCTAATGCTAAATCTGTAATTAACATATTAACCTTTATATTTTCTTAATTTAATTCTATAAAAGTTATTATATAGTTTGTATAATCTTATTGGTAGTATCTCTATTATTATTACAATTAATTACTTTCTAAATAATCATTTTAATATAATTATATCACATTTTTCTATCTATCAAAAGTAAAAATTATATTAAATAAATTAGTTTTAACATTATCAAATAATTGTTAAAATTTTATCAGCTGCATTTTTTAAATATTTTTTAATAATACTTTTTGAGAAAATAATGTAATTATTAGATTTAACCAATAAATAAATTTTAAAATATAGGATTTTTAATTCATTAAAATGCAAAACAACATAAAATAATTATATTTAATAGAGTTATTTAAGTTTTTTACTTGAATAAATGTTATAATTGTTAATAAATAAATATATAATTTTTTAGTATAATAATATCTAAAATTAGTAATATTTCTTTTAAATTATTATTTTTATTTATTCAAATATTAAATTATTTTATTAATAAATTCTTTATATAAAATGAAAATAATTCTGTAAGATCCTTTTTAAGATAATTTTATTTTACTTTAACTTTATATCATCTTTTGCAGTATTATCAAAATATTTTGCTATTTATTATTAATTATATTTTTATGCAAAATTTTGACAATTATTAATATGACATACACATTCTTTATTAGTATTTGCAAATTTTAACCTATAAACTTATCTTTTCTAATTATACTAATACAAGTTTAATATATAATATATTTATTATATTATTTGTTTTTAATTACATATAAAATTACAACATATAGTATTAAGAAATGTGATTGATAATTTATATATTTTTAAAAGATAATTATAAAAGAGATTAAATAAATTTTTATATATTTATAAATAATTTTACTTTTAACTAATTATGACTAATTTATTAATAATTATACAGATTATTTATTTACTATTATTTTAAAACTATTTTATATAGAATACAAAATTCAGTAGCTTTATTTATATTGATAAACTTGATTAAAACTCTAAAATCTATTCAGGTTAAATAGTAGAATTATTCTAATTTAACAATTTTATTTTATTATTATTTAATTAGAATGATTTTATAATTATTTAAATTTTAAGTTATATTAGCATTATAAATTTAATCAAAAATATAATATAAATTATAAATTAAATAAAATTATATAATTATAGTTTAAATTAAATTAAACATCTTTATTATATCTAAAATTTAATAGTCTATTATTAAGAATTATATAAAGTCTAATTTTAATACTAATAGAGATTGCATAAATATTATCTACTTGAATTTCAAAACGATATTTTGTATTTATAGATTTATACAATTTTACTTATTTGTTTGATGAAAATAAGTAAACTTGCTATCACAAAAAATAGGTTATTTATTATTTTTATGCTTTTTTTTTAAAATGAAGATGTTATAATGTATGCTTATTATTAGATCAGATTTGTCAAATTCAGATTAGATTTAGATTTATATTCAAATTAAATCTGATCTGTCAGATTCAGATTCAAATTCAGATCTAATTCTTCAGATTCAGATCTAATTTATAAGATCTGATTCAAATTTTTTAAAGTTAAAAAATTCCTTTCATTAAAAAGAAATAAATTTTTAGATCTTTTTTAGAACTGAAATTTTCCTTTAATTGAAAAGTAACAACTTTTCAGACTCTTTTAGAGCTAAAAATTTGTTTCTTTTCATTGAAAAGGAATGAATTTTCAGATTTCTTTTAGAGTCAAAAATTTGTTTCCTTTCATTAAAAAGGAACAAACTTTTGGATTTCTTTTAGAGTTGAAAAGTTCCTTTATTGAAAAGAAATGACTTTTTAGACCTCTTTTAAAGCTAAAAAGTTCCTTTCATTGAAAAAAAACAAATTTTCAGATTTCTTTTAGAACTGAAAAGGTTTCTTTTCATTAAAAAGATTGAAAAGAAAACATTTTTGGATCTCTTTTAGAACTGAAAAATCTATTTTTCAATAAAATTTTTTGGATTCAGATCAGATTTAAACTGATCCGTCAGATTCAGATTGGATCTGGATTTCAACGGATCCGTCAGATTCAAATCAGATTCAGATCCTGAAAAATGAAATCAAATCGGATCGGATTTGAATAAAATCTGATCTGATCTGATTTTACGGAAAACTACTAAAGACTCTAGTATAGAAAAACCCTTGGTGATGATGATGATGATGATAATATTATTGGTATTTTGGAAAGTCAAATCTGAAAGACAAAAGATATATTATAAACAGAAGAAAATGTTAAAGCAGTGATTTTTCCTTGCTTTAGCTAATGACACAAGGTGTCTGATAATATTCCTTTGTGTGCAGATAAATACATGAGAGGAAAGGTGTAGTTTATGATTTTCGATTTTGAATCTTAAATGATTTTCATTGATAAGCAACTGGTATTACTAAGCAAAAAATTATCAACGGTAAACCTACCCTTTTCATTGTAAATTTTCTGAAAAACGAAAATTTCGAAAGTAACTACTGCAAAGCACCCATTTAGAGAATTTTGTGCATTAATCTATTGTTTTCTGAAATGAATGATAATAAATACTATTTGTGCTATGATCAGGATTGTTTATTTGTACATATTCTCCGTTTACTAATTTTTCGCCCATGATGCTATCAACTTCTCTCGGTAGAAAGTTCAAAAAAAAAAAAAAACTCTTAAACATTTTAATTTATATATATAGAATATCGATTTATTCAATTATATTCACAGTATCAATATTTATTTTTTAAAATAAAATAAGATTAAAAAAATTCGAAAAATAAGAAAAAAAGTTCAACCCATTGCCTTTATCCTCAATTGGTGAAATCAAATTCTAATTTAAATAAAATAAAATAAAAATCGTTACAATACATCATATTTACTTCCATACTTTCTTCCCCTTTTACGGGGCTTTTGTTGACGTGGCGAGGATGACTCCGCAAAAGAACTTGAATTAGATGGTCCCGCAAAACTTGATGAAAAATCACTATGAGATGCAGTCATGGATTCAGTGTTATCGACTTCAGATGAGTCAAATCTGCTATTGTTCCAATTTTCAACCCTATTATTTCCTCCCGTTTGTTTATAACTTTTCATAATTTCCTGTTATAAAGTTAAATATTAAATTTAACAATTATGAAAAAATCAATCAATAGGTATATTTATATTTTTAAAATTTTTAGGTTACCTCATTTTTAGAATTAACATAAATATAAGCCTCATAAATATGACACACTAATAAGGAGTCAGGAATTGTTTCCAATAATTCTTCTGAAACATCAGCTGGCCACAAATTTAATCCTTCATCTGTTATATAATATATTAATGGGACTTGATCCTTATTAAAATCCTTCAAAAATCTAAGCATAAACCTTTTCAACGCAATAGCAAAAGCTCCTGCCGGTATACGTTGCGTGTTCATTGAAGAACGTTCGAATTCAACTACTAAATCAATTTCACCCTTCACCTCTTCTGTGAGTTCAACTTTGAACCTCTCATCTATATATGGTATGACGGAATTTGCAACTTGTTCTTCAATCAATTCATACAAAGCTATTAAATGTTTGAGACATAATCCGATATTTAACAAATTTTTGAATGGTTTGATTTCCACTAGTACAGATAATTTCATCCAATGGTTAACATAATCCAGGATTTTGGTCTCTTCACTTCCAACCGATGTGCGTTTTACGAAGCAAAGCAAAACTTCTAAAGAAGAAAGGAGTTCAGACGCATTATCATAAGATAATGAACTAAGGTTATAACGACTCCTATTAGTCGCTCCCATAATCAGGGAAATTTTATCGGATGGGATTTTCTGTTGAGGAATTAAAGATTTGATATCGCCAAGTATTCTCATATATCCTTGGAATAATTCCATATGATATGAAAAAGTTTCCATGTATGATTGCGAACCTTTCAAAGTATCAATATGAACTTTTTCAAAAACTAATCTACGTGCAAGTTCCATTTCAATTTTTTGTAAATCGTAGATTACATCTTGACCACGTCCAATCTCAAGATTACGATCACTATTTTGGAGAATATTATCATCCCATTTGTAATTTATAAAATTTTTTTGTTTTGTTTGATCGATTCTCAAAGATTGAAGGTAATAACGAGTAGGTCTTTCTGTAGGGTTGGCATCATATGTCTTTGATGAGGAAGATGTAACAGTATTTCCCGAAATAGAATAACGCTCTTCCAAGAATTGAAGTGCTTTAGTAGATCCTATAGGAATCGTCAATACTTCTTGTAAGAAGTTATTTTGTAATCCAATCAAATATTCCAGAATAGCGCAAAGATATACGCCTGAATCCTTTGGCTCAACTAAAGCAAGTGCAATAGGTGATTTCATGCTTATATTTGGTTTTGGTTTTTGAAGCTCGTGACATTGAAATTGATCAACACTACCAATCACTGCATTCCAAGCAGTGGCAAATTCATTGAAATTCAAAGTTAAAAATTTAAGCACCTCTTCAAATTCTCCATCATTAGACTCTTCGTCTATAAATTGTTTGAAAGTTTTTTCTTGTGCTTTTTCTCGACTCACACGATATCCAAGTCGTGATGATATGATTTGAACGAAATTCACTATCGGCCAAAGGTATTTGACCTCTTCTAACTTATTATAATACCTAAAGAATACTGAAATGAAAGGATAACGTGATTCGTGTTTCTCTGTATCTGAATTGTAATAAGCACGAAAACCTTGAAAGCTCGTAGTTCCAATAGATCGCCAAAGCCTTGGTAAATATTCACGCATGTATTGTGTTGTCATTGGTATTGTTTGATTAATTTCTCTTTCTAAAAAGTTCGAATTTTCTTGAGGGTTCGCAAGTTTTACACGAAATTCAGTAGTCGTAATTGTGACATTTTTAATTAAAGGCAAAACATAATTTCGAGCAAAGTTCGTTTCCCATTCCTCACGCTCTTCCGGTGTCTTCAAACTTGTACGATTTGGCGGAGTTTTAAACATACGATCAAGAATTGCATGTAATAAGAGAGCTAAATTTTCTTCAGAGCAATTCAAAAGTTTTAAAAGAATTTGCCAATCATTCTTGATATGTCCCATACAATATGCCACACTATCGTTTGCATTATTATTGATTTTTTGTAAAAACGTAGTTGCAGTACCAGAAGGTGCCCAAGCTCCAATTATCGAATGAACAAACAAATGAAGAATTCTATAAGACGTAGGAGATAAATTGCGATGATGATAATTGATATCCATATTTAAAGGTTCCCCTATATATCCTTTTTCGTCTTTTGAGCTTATGGGCTTCCTAATTGGACTTTCATCTAATTTCACATTCCCAGCGTCGGAAATATGGTTTTCGCCACCAATAGAATTATTACATTCGGGGCATTTACCTCGCCCATTGGCTTGTCCACAATCACCGATAAGATAAAGGTAACCACATTGACATTTATACCTATCAAAGGAATAATTAATAATGTGCTTAAATATGAAAAAATCAAAAATGTAATTTATTCTTACCGAGTAATATTGCCGTTCCTCTGTAATATAACACTTAATACAAGAGATTCTACATCTGATGGGCAAGTGAGAATATACAAACCACTACAGGCACTCAAATTATGTAACAAATACGCCAACGGTGACGCGTCAGCTTGAATTGATGAGTGTAATGCTATAACGTGGCCAATGACCGATTTAATTAATAAATCGGTGTTACTAACATTCGAATCGAGATACAACATAGCATGTTGGTTTGTGACTACGTCTTTGATAGTTTTCTTATAAATATTAGATAAGGAATTTATATTCTCAATTTTTTCATTCAAGAATTCCGCAGCCTGATTTTCTACATGAGACCATTCTTTTGTTGCCCTTATAACATGAAGTCGATTAAGGATACCTCCTATATATGAAATCCTAGCGTCCGCTTCTTTTTTCTTTATTTTATTTAATAGTTGATTAAATTGTTCTCTACTATTATAGCTACAAAGCATGGAGAGGTTATTTTCCATAATATCATATTCTTTAAAGGAATGGTAAACATTAAATGGCAATCGGGTTTCTTGACTATTATCCCAAGATAAAGTGTCCAGCCATGGTAAGATATACTTTTGAGCCTGACAAAATTTTTTAACATCATCCATAGTGTAATCTCTATTACGTAGATCTCGTAGAAAGTAAAGTTTTAATGAATCAATTAAAGGATAAGGTAAGTCCATAAAATTATTAATTTGACCAATTAATTGATGGAAATCAAAATCTCCGGTTTCCATGATATCCAATTCTACGGGTTGTAACATATCATCTTGGATTGTAGCATTCCAAAATTTGCAAACAAATTCTTTGAGGAATGCAACTGCTGTTATTTTTTGTAATCCTTCGACACCATTAATATATAAAGCTTCAACAGCGAAACGGAAATAAGGTGATAAGTCAATTAGATCATATTGTGCGAAGAATGATTTTTGTATAATGTCGCAGAATAATGCTGCCATTGCAGTGTGACAACCTTTAGTTTCAAAACAAGTATTTATGATCTCAAATCTTTGTAAATTTAACACCTTTGTAGGATTATCTAAACATGAAAAGAAGCTGAAAGTCTCGTCGTTCTTGCTTTCTTCTTCAATTATACTCCTAATGATTTGTCCCATAAGAGGGAAGGGTTCATCTAAGAATAGAATATGGTAAAGTTCCAACCTAGAAGGTGAATCAGATGGAATTATTTCTAAACTCCTCATGACAAAAGATTGCTTTGCAAATAATGTTGCGTTGGATTGATTGAATTTTTCAAGAACTTCAAAGACTTTGACGACGAACGTAGTTGAAAATATTACCACTCCATCTCCAACCTTGCTAATTTCTTTAATAAACTTTAATGGAATTAGTTCAGTTGATAATAGATCATTACAAATTTGTAACAATTGAAAAGGTTCCGTCTTGTTAAAATTTGAGAGTTTTTCACAGAGATTCAAAATATTTCTAATTTCGAGTTGTAATTCAACAATATCCTGATTCTTTTCTTGACACTTGTTAATTTTTTTAAGCATCAAACTCGTAACTTCATTCACGAGATGTTCTTCAAAATTTTGTGTATTTATAACATCATCATTACCCATAATAATATCATTAAGGATCATGGGGCACGCATGAATTAGTTGGAATTCCGCTAAAGTAGCAACAGAATTTTTCCACCAAAATATATGTAAAAGAATAGGACTTCGAATATTCTCTTTGAGTTTGCATTTGAAAATATATGATAATACAGATACATTTTTGACACTAGTTTCAGAGTTACAAATTATATGAACAAAATCCTTGAAGTATAATTCTGAAGCATCCTCCAACGGAGACGATTCCAAAAGTGTGATGGACTTAAAGATTTTTTTGGTAAAAGTTTCAACAAAATCCTCATAGATATAGTTGTGTAATTCTCCAGTATCTGCATTTATGTTTTCTGTATCTTTACTAAGCATTGACAATTCCTCTTCATACAAAGTTTTGAAACTATCAATCTGATTCATAAAGTAAAATGAAAATGGAAATTGTAAATAGAAAACGCTAACGGGCATTGTATATATATCTGGCATTGGTTCCGGCAATGAGTCAATATTGATAACATTATTATCCATAAACATGTCTTTCCAGAATTTAAGAAATTGTTCGCTATGTGGTGACATTGGAGATTCTGGCAAGTCATGAAGAAAGAATGTCTTTGTAACTCCTAAGCGTTCCAGAGTACATAAAATTTTTGCAATAGGACGACGAACTATTATACGGATCTGTGCCTGTAATGCCATAGCAAAAGAAGAATGAGGATATAACAATTTTTTGTTGGATGCGACGCTATATTGCCAATCTTGTTTAACGTTTGTTTTCAACCACTCCTGCGTTCTTAGTTTCAAACAATTTACGAAATTTGGATGATCTAAAATATATTTACTCAAATATCTAGTTTAAAAACAGATATAAAAAAAAAAGAAAATATTAAAATTAAATATATATTAATAGGTTCAACTTGAAAGAAAATTACGCTTACTTGACATGATTAACGGATTTAACATTGTTCGGGTACTTCATGCATAGCAAACACCATAATAATTCGTGTT